TCTGAATGCTTTACAATTCTGTTAATTAAAGGAAAACATAAACTTTCAGTTGCATGAAAAAACCTTTCATTAAACAGATCAGTTGACCATCACTGACTCATAAATCTTAAAATCAAACACTGTAAAGTAGTAAAAACTTAAAAAAATAATTAATACTACACCATAGTATGAGATACATCCAATGTCACAATAGTCTTCTTAAATTACATGTACATACAATGTACATGAAATATTTTGATTCATGCATCTTCAATTAAATGAATAAAGATTTGCAATCCAGGTACTTTTATGGTGCAATTATCATGTTTAGAAAAGAGAGAACTAAAAATATCAGGACATCTCATCCAGAAAGATGTCAAGGTTTAGGTGCTGCCCCCTGCCTCAACACAAAAAATTATTTCACAGGTCACTGGCACACAAGGTGATTCACATGTGAGGGACATTTGTGTATGATCCTCTTTTTTATCTGCTAGGGTGTCAATTAGAGTGATAAGATATGTTTCTTGAAGAAAGTGTTAGACAAAAAAAAATTAAATTCTATGAGGAATCAGATGAAAGACCATAGGATTTCATGTGTCATAATTTGCTCTACCTCTGAGCACACAGAGAACCCTGTGGTGGGCAAGGCCGTTGCTAGGTTCATACAAGTACATGACATGCATTCTGCTTCAGGCTAGAATCAGCAATGTTGATAGTATAGTGTGAATGAACAGAACACTGTGAATTTTGTGTCCAGTTGTCAAAAGAGATTTTACTTATCATTTGCTTTTCCAACAAGGAATAAGGTCATAAACAAAAGCTCCACCTCATTTGTTCCTGACTGTTACCATAATCAGTTCCTTCTGCTCACTCCCAGAGATACATGTATTATGGTTACTTTATCTTTGTAAAAATTAAGACTAAAGTTCACCGTTTTTTACATCTCTTAATGTACTAAAAATTCAATATTGAATTTTATGACAATCCTCTAACCGCACACCCTCTACCGAATGTTTACAAGCACATCTTACTTTCAAATAAAGCTGCAAAGAATGTTAAAAAATAGAGAGTTTATTTGTAAGTAACCAACACACTCAGTTGTCTTATGATGAGAGAACTGAACCTAGAAACATTCTATACTTACAAAAATATATGCATTGTTAAATACTTACTTAAGGTTGTATGGGTTGTATTCTATTGATGACCTATCAACAGCAGGTGTCATGTAAAGAAACCCCAGTTTAGAGTTCTCCTTGATCAAACTGATGATCTGAAGTGGATCTCTCAATCCCTCAGGTATAACATCAGTCTTCTCCACTACAGCTCCTCCATTTGCAAAAGCATGACCATTTGTTTTTTGCTTTGGTGAACCCTTCCTTTGAGGGGCCCTAGCATTAACTTGAGCTACTGAGTCAATTTTGTCTTGTTTATTCTTTAGATCATCTGGTAGGCTTGGTAATGGAGATGTCACTCGCTCAAGAGGTTCTACCAAATCCCTTCGGCATGCCTTCTTCTTTTCTGGTTCAGAAGAGGAGGGTGGTGTTGGGGTTTTTGTCTTCCCTGAAGTAGGAGTGTAGGGAAGACTTTTTTGCCTTTCTTGATATCTAGCAAGGTTTGGCTGAAAGAAAAAAAATTCCATTATTGTTTGTATTTGTTATTTACAACCACTGATAAATTAAAAGTTATGGTTCAGTCAGTACTTCAATCAACCTTGAACAATATTTTTCTCTAACAATAAGAAGCATTTTGCAAAAGTTTAAGAAAGCAATAAATTTAGTAACTATTTAGTGACCTTTATATGGCTGGGCACAATTTTTTCAACAGTAGATAAAGTGATTTGACAGATAAATCACTATTCAGGAATTAAGTGTCAACAAAAAAACCTAGTAACTGCACTATTGAGTGGAGAGAAATTTATCCTGAGCGAATAGTGTTATCCACCCTTTGAACAAGCATTGCCTGATAATTTTTCATCATCTCTTAATTCTCCTTGGTCACAGGGTAGGTCTTCTATGGTACTGGTGAGATTACTGCTACATTTTATCTCAATTAATTAGTTTTTCAACTTACCAAGGGCTCAAGTCTTGGTGCTGTTGGTATATTCTGAAGAATAACAACAGAAAATAAATCATAGTATAGGAAAACTAACCAGTATATGATTTAACTGTAAGTCGGCCATCAATCAAAGTCTACCAAACATGTTGTAGGCAGTTAAAATTGTACCTTTGTGTACACAGGACCCACACACGCAGCATTAGTTCGCACAATTGCCAAAAAGTTGCACAAGAGACGAACGCGCAGAAATAAGTAAACCTAAACTACAGTATCATTAAACAAAACTTGAAAGACGTGTCACAGGTCATTATTATAGCTTGCGCATAAAGTTAAATGTAGCTGTGTAGGCATTCATCTTCTTTTCTTAATTTGACAGAGAGAGTTCAGAAATGAATTACAAAATTGTTTAACTTTCGGGGTTGAGACTCAATCTTCTGGAGGGAAGGGTCATTTCTTGTATATTTTGATGACGATTTTTCAAAGCTGTGTAAGCTCTGCTGAAAAAATGTTCGTGTTTAAACTTCTCTGAAGAATATTATGTTCCTCCGCACGTCCATAATTACGAAAAAATAGCTACATGAAGTAGGTATTTCACACTCGAGCTTACCTTTTTGAGCTGCACCGGGGTCGGACCACTGAATCTAAGAGCCTTTGGATTTGGTTTTAATTGTGGTTTTGCATAAATACGAGCGCGAAGCTCATTTTCGTCAATCCCTGGCAAAGAAAATGCATCGGATCTTGGTTTGTTAGAGGGTTTCCTACCGCCATTCGCGAAGGTACTTGCACCGTTTTGAGCCATTTTCTCCAAGAAGACTTTTTCTTTGATATTTACACAAACAAAAATCTGTTGTGCATCTTAGTGAACCACACAAAGGAGCAAAAATGTCCTAATTAATCGCGGGAAACCTCCATACTTGACTTTGTTTTCCAAACTTTCCGCCATTTTGTTTCTGGAGAAAGTTGCTACGTAACGAGATTGTCAACTACGGGAGCCTCGGTATCATGCGGGAAAGCTCTTTTCTCTCAAGAACTTGTCTCGACGTTTTTTCCCGTGTCGCCTTTGTAATAACAAGATAATTTCTAAATTTAAGAGATGAACTACAAATCGAGTCAAAAACTCAGAAACTATATTTACAATAGAGTAAAAATGCCAAGCAAAAGAAATGAGGGGGAGAGGGCATTCACGAAGTTTGGGTGTGCTGCCAAAACCCTAACGCGGATTGAGACAAAGTTCGGTCATATTCCATCCTTGTTAGAGATAGTAATTTAAGAAATTGTAGCTTACCGACCTCATGAATTCATCTGGTACATATCCAGAAAGACATCACTTTTATTCGTGGCCGTTTGCGACATTTACATTTCACCAAAACAAATAAATTGCAAGGCTGTCACACTCACGAAAGGCACAGGCCATTATTGTAGATGTGACTATGAGGTCCGATGATGTTGGTTGAAATAAAAGTATTTCCCGAAAATACTAATCAATATGATAATCTCATGATAAAAAAAATTATTCTACACGGTTAACGAAGTTTGTCAGTTTCTACTCTTGGCAAATAACTGAGCTCCTCTTCACTGACAAATCACCGTTGCTCCAGGCTAATTGTTTCATAAATACCGTGCATCTGTCGCATGGATGCAGTGATGTCGAGGGACACGGATTCAACTTCAAACCACGGGAAGTTCAAGATATCCAAGTTTCCTGACAAACGAAGCCCTTCTAATGTCAATTTTAATTTAGTGAACTAACCGAATAGTTCAAAGTAAACTGGAGTGGACGCAAACCGGAATCTTGTTTTGCATCAGGCTTAATTTCCGTTTCTCGGTCCTCCCATATGAAAAAGGAGCGTGGGCTCATTTTCCGAACAGCGGCTTGTAAACAAAGCCATCGATTACCCCGCTCCGGCTTCAGTGACTGTTCAGTTTGGTGATTTCACGCATGAACGGAAATTTGAGTTAGGTGCTGAATATTTTAAGACCTTACTTCGAATTCAAAACAATCCCTGTTCATTTTGCCTGCGGAATGAAAGTTATAGTCTGCAAATCTTCCCCTGAAGTAAATTGCTTAAAAGGTAGAAGATGAAACCGTTTTCGCAAATGTTCAACGTCGTTCAATTTTCTTTTTTTGTAGCCTATTAGTAATAAAGCCCGTCGATATATTTAATAAAGTATCACTTCTTTAGTAATCCTCACCGATTGGCTTTGCATGATTTGTTGATACCATTAAAATGACAGTGATAATCTGAGAGATGTGGGAAGTGGTTGTTATCGCCATTTTGAAACAAAATCCGAAAAATAATTGAGAATGATAAAGGATTAACGAGTTCTTACCCTCTCATTTTGAAAAGTGTTCTTCATTTTATCAACTAACAATTCTTACCTTTTCGTCATACTTAACATTATCTAATCGAAGAAAATAGAAAAATTCAACACACTTCACTGAATTTATGATTTTAACGCTCAAAGGGCGGAATGACCTAGTACCTTTTGCGTCAGAAATGACAGGATTAACTCAGGCAAATCAATCCATCAACAAGATTCAATGGTTTAGCAAAGATTTGTAAATTCTTTTTGGGCTACATAACTTCTAATAATCACGGAGGAGAGTTCGATTTTCAAACTTATGTCACGTTTGTATTTTGTTTAGTTGAACAGGAAGTAGAGTTGAATCCTCTTCTTGTGGAGCTTTCTCCTGGACCGAGTTCCGTTGCAGTCACAAATGAGCAACGTCAATAACCCATTTCTAGAGGTAAAGTGACAGTTTCAAGAAATGCGACATGCTGTGAATTTGATTATCTGTTGATTTTTGTGATAAACTCTTGGATTGTTTTGTCCTTGACTGAACTGAAATAATGATAGGAAGAGTACTTGGAGATGTGCATAATATTGCTAAATTCTTTAATCTTTTGAATAGAGATATAGTCTGGAACACGATCGATGTCTACCGACACGTTTTGACGAGAGATATGGATGAGGGGAAGCATGAACAGGTCAGAACAGAAACTCTCATTGACTCAGTCGTGCGGCAGTTGTCGGTGTATGCAGTCGCCGCTATGGGTTTATTTCTCATAGTAAAAGAACACTTTATCGGTAAGTACATTTCGAAGTCTCTCAACTTACCATATAGCTTGAAATCTGGTGCTTTCGTCAAGTATTCAATAATAGTTAACTTGCGTACCTTATTCTTAAAGTTTAGTCCGTCAGTCCTTTAATTTCTCGGGATGAAACAGTTTTTTTCAGTTCGACAGGGTTTATTATTTATCATTTACAAACTTTTCTCGTGTTCATCCAACACCTCGCGTGGGACATTACGCTGCTAAGCTAATAGAAAATATTAATATTACAATGGGTTTACCATTGCAATAAATGATAGGTTTTTGACCGAACAACACGAGCTGTACCTCGATTACTTCATAAAATTTGTTAAAACCTAAAGATAGAAAACGCCCGACAAACCCGTACCAAACATCTTTTCCGCATCAGTTTACTACTTATTTAATAAGAAACAAGCACCGGGAAGCAGAAGCAGAAGATGTATACATTGATGTCGCTGCTATAAAAGCAGATCGAACGCGGCTTTTGCTTCAAGTCTTGGCTCGTGATACCTTTTCTGTGTGTGGCTCGCTTAGCTTCTACCCACACGTTTCAACATGAACAGTCGGTCTATTTCGTTATCTTGTCAGTAATGGTCCTCATGCCATATCGCCATGACTAGGTTTCTGAATCTGAAATTTAAAATGAAAGGATTTCCTCCTCTTAATGATTTTTTATTCTCCAATAATACGACAATGCGGCCGCTTGTGACAAGCTATAAACACATCTAAAGAACGCCTCTAAATGCCGATATTCTAACCCTTTGCTATTCTTATGCTGGACATTACAAAGATATCTTAAGGATATGGGGAGACCTTGTGGATGTTACTTTAGTATTATTCCCATTAACTCTTTAACTCCCAGCCGTGATTTATATTAACTTCTCCCTGTTGCATCCATACATTACATTGAAAACAGGTATTGAGAATACTCAAACTCATCAGGTAGAGGTTGTTGTCTTGACGTAACACTAAATGCTCGTGACTAATTTTCAAGGAAATGTGTAGCAGCTTGAGGGGAGAATTAACAATCAGATCTTGGGAATTGACCATAAAACTTGCTTCTGCGACTTAGTTTTGAGAGTTTTCGAGAAGCAAAACTGAAGGGTTTTTGTGAAATGTAGCTTCGATGTCTTCTTCTAGAAATCTGTTTGATAAACATGGTTTACAACATGGTTTCTTTTCGTTAAAGGTTCGCTCATTGTCTGCCAACCAATCAACAGGGGTGTTAAAGAGAACCTGTCCTACAGCCAATCACAGGCAGATTACGATAAAGCTTATTGCTTAATGTCAATGACAGATACCCGGGAAAACCTGATCGTCGCGTCAGGAGGTGAGCCTAACACAATCCCTGGGGTCACCATAATGGGGATAAAATCTGAAGAAGGACGCGTCATTTATCAGAATTATCTTCCATTTGCTTTGGTCATTCAAGCTGCTCTTTCTTGCATTCCAACGATTTTATGGAACACTTGGGCTTCCGATATTCTTCGTACCTGTATAAGATTCGTGGCTGACAGCTCTAGTAAGATTTGCCCTGTTCGAGTTGATTCAGGCCATTCACCGGTCAAAAAAGACCAAAGTTTTGAAATTCTTAATGAGTATCTAAGCGCTCAAGTTGAACGCTGGGAAGGAAGGAAATTCCTCATAAGAGTTTACACCACAAAGCTTATGTTAAGTCTTGGTATCTTCATCTTTATGGTGACCTTTTATGTAGCATATCCTGTACTGAACTATGTTGAATTCCAAGGGTCTTTTGTTTGTCACGTGCACAAGCAAACCCTGGTCACGTGTGTATTTCCTGATGTAGACCTATTCAAGTTAGCGTGGATTGTGAATATCGTACTTGTCGACATATCTATTGCGATCGTAGTTCTCCAATTGTTAAACGTTGCTTTCTGTCTGCAACGAAAGACAACGTTTTTCTCCTGTTTCATGAGAGTCGAAGAAAGAAAAATATCACGAATACCCAACGATTCGCATTTGATCTCTCATTTTTGTTATGAAAACGCTGCTGTAATGTGTCCAAGTTTGATGAACAGGTCTTCCAGTCCCGGAAAGACAATGCACACCCCGCTTATTTCACTGGGAAGTTCCGAGGAGGAGTTACACTCTCCCAGCTCAAGTTCATCACTTTCATATAGTACGGCACCACAGCTTTTCAGACGACAAACTGCCGACTGAGAAAGGGATTTTCCAGTGACAATAAAAACAAACTTTAATTTGAGAGGTTAATAATAATTAATCACTAGTTTTGCGATAGATAGTTCCTGATTTATATAATGGAAAGGTAACGAACGATGCGCATATCCGTTAGGTAACTTGTGATTTATCCGTACAACAGCTTATGATCTACCTTCCGTGTAATGGCTAATGCTTTACCCGCCGGAGTGCTGGTGGTTTACCCGTCGGACACCTAATAAAGAAACCGTCGCATTGATAGTAGGGAGTTTAAGAAAACCACGACGGCAATGGCAACGGGAACGTCACTAAACAAAAGGTTTAATGAGCAGAACAATAGCTGGGCACGTGCGTAGTAAAGCTTTGTGAATTTCTTTGCGTCCTCTGCAAAACAACAACGTGAAATAACCAAACTTTGCGTCGTCTGGAGAACTTGAACGGCGACGATTCTAATTTAACACCGTGTTCCATATTCAGTTCGAGATAGTTTTGAAAGCAAGAAACAAGATAAATGACCTAAGAGTATCGCGAGGTTCGAAGGTGAAATATAAGTTCATTTTTTAACCGACGTTGTCCACGGCGTCGTCGTTTCTTAAACTCCCTAATAATTTGTCCGACGGATAACTGGTAGTTTATCCGTCGAATATCTAATTATTTATTCGCGGGACGGCTGATGATCGTTCTGTCGGATGGCTGGTGATTATTCGTCGCATTGCTAATGGAGATATTAAAAGAAAAATAGTAATTAATAATTATTCACCGAAGTGGAGGTGAATTGTGGTGGATATTTACCGAGCCGCAAGGCGACGAGGTAATTATTCACCACTTTTATCGACACCTGAGTGAATAATTGTTTTAGTATTCAGTATAGCACAGTGATACCAGAAAATTAGTTTTCTTCTTTCAATATACCAAAAAATGATGGGAAATAATACTCTTGATGCGCGATTTTGTCTCATCGGCTGCTCGGAAGTGAACAGTACTTGCTATTTACTTCCGAACTAGCCAATCAGCGCGCGCAAAAAGCACCATTCACCTGTGTGGTATATACTAAAAGTCTTTATTCACCACAAGATAACGATACATTACTTATGTTGTAAAAGCTACGAATGAATAAACCCGGATCCTGATATATATACAAACAGGAGTCGTGATAAGAAATAAATAGGTCTATTTAGACCCCAAATGTGATGGTGGTTTTACTCGCTAATTTAATTTGAACAAGTGTAGTCATCAGCCTTTTTCACAACATATGCCCATGCACGAACGAATGCTCTTGAGGAAGAGAAAAAGAAGGCTGAAAGGACGGAGGAAAAAGTGAGACCGACTATGGTTCTGATGAGCTTTTCTCTGCCCGAGTCAGGGTTGAGTTCCTGTTTATTCAGAATTTCAACTTCCCCATACTATGTGTGACAATTTAAGAAGATTCTAGATAGCCTGTCGATTCACCACAAGATAACGATACATTACTTATGTTGTAAAAGCTACGAATGAATAAACCCGGATCCTGATATATATACAAACAGACATAGAGTCTCCTCAACTGAGGCCACAACGCGGTAATTACAACTGAATCGTTTCAAGTCTTTTCAAAAGTTTGAAGGCTCAAAACTGCTCCTTGAAAACATGAATTGACACTTGAGAACTCCTGTATTTCGATTCTAATCCCCACAGCGCTGAGAATGCATTTGAAATTAATATGAAACAAAAGCAAAGAATCGTCATGGTAATGTCTTCATACCTTGTAAAATGTCCCTACCTAATGAATTTTATATCGCGACTTGTTTACTCCAGGGTACGTAACAACGAACAGATGCTTTTGGCATTAACAATATTTCCGATCCGATCTAAATAGAAAATGGCCGTAATTACAAAGCAAAATAATTATAAAAACGAACTAAACTTAGTACTAGTTTAAGCACCGACGCCATTACGATTTTAAAAATATTCCATAAAACGTTAATTATCACTTTTGTTTACATTTTTTGCTATTTTATGTTGCAACTTTGCAGTTATGATACATCAGTGGAAATAAAAAAAGGGATTACATATACATTATAATTAATATGACATAGCTGAAAATTTAGCATGGGGCGAAAAAACCCGTAGGGAAACCAAGAGGCTTATGCGAGCTACAGGCTCCTCATATTTTACCAAAATGAGGTATCAGTTATATGGCGTGATTTAAGTACAAAATATTTTAGGTTACATGCAACATGAAACTAATAGAATCTCAAGTTTATTCCATTTTCAAAATATTCGTTCGTCAAACATTAAAACTTCACACCAGGAGTAGAGAATCAAGGTCTACCTGTTACTTATAACTTTCAGAGTTTCATTTCACTCCTACATCAACTCGGATGATATATAAGGCCCCCTGAAGTCATATCAAGACTACTTTAAACGTTTTTTACGTGGCTTTCTAAAAAAACTTCACGCTTAAGAGTAACAAACAAAGAAACTGAATAAATTACCACAGGCGATAAACCAAGAGAGATGGAGATGTGTTTTCAATTGCCTCTAAACAATAAGTATAATACCACGGGATCATTTAAGACCACATTAATTTGCTTGCTGAAGGCTACACTCAAAATTAATCAAGGTATGTTCATAACTTCTCGTCCAGAATTTGTGTCTGACGTAAGATTCACCTCTACTCAAACTTGCGGCAAACAAATTGAAAAGGCCAGTTTAACTAAAACATAAATAAACATTAAGCAGTTCCCTTAGCAATATGTCTTTCACCACATGAACGCTCAACAATTAGCTGATTTCAACGAGAAAATTGACGCTAGTGAATAATTTCAAGATACAAGAAGGACCAGTACGTCGGATACCGGAGGCAAAACCAGCGTAGAAAAGGTAATTATCTCTATAGATTTTTATTTACACTCACCCTTCTTTTCCCAAACCACAATTGAGCCTGCGAGTCTATCGAAACAGGTTGCTCAGAGTCCGAGATATAACCTGATTTTTCTCTCTTACCCTCAAAAAAGAAACCTTAGATGCGTTAAAAAGAGAAAAATGGCTTGAATCTTCCCACATAAATACTATAGTCAGTTTTAACGGATGACATTTGAAGTAATACATCTTGTTTATTTCGGTAAGTGATCTGAAATGTCTCGTTTGAAGACATTTCTTGTAGAGATCTCAACTCCTGATTCTGGCTAAATTTCTCATATGAAATTAGGGACAAAATTCATATAGCTCACCGGATCCATTGATTATTGCTTATGTTGATGTTCTCGTGATAAGAAAATCAACATAAGCAATAATGAAAGCGCAATAAAGTCTTAGTGACCTCGTGACCATTGCTCAATTTCATGTACAGAAGTCAGTGCTTTATTGTTAATTTTATTTTGTACGTTATCTTTTATTGTAAATTTTCTAACTTTTCGGGTTGTATGGGTTTAACCATAAAGATCATTTTATCTCTCAAAAAGGAAAGTTTGAATTCAGGGTAACAGCTTGAAAATGATTAAAAGGAAACTCAATTCAATTGCAAAATACACATAAAATCATTTCGATTGCGTGCGCGCGAGGAATTATGCGCCGATCAATAGGCCATTTTCGAGTTACCTTTGACCTCATTTTCAAAGCGAGTCCTAGTGCTGATCCTTTCATATGATTATAAGTTTTCATCCACATGTAAATTAAACTCATTTTCATAGCAATGGTTGAGCACCAGGCCTCGTTTTGAAAAAGAGGCTAAAGGTAATTCGGAAATGGCCTCTTCGAAGCTTCAACATACCCCCTGGAAATTCCCCTACGGGCATTTCACCGTCGTCTGTGCCCGGGGGGGAAGGTGAACCTTGCCTAGGTGGGGTGGGGCGTTTGAACTGGATGTGTCAAGTCTTTCCGGCGTAATACACGTGTTTTCATGGAGGAGTTTAAAGTTGAAGAGTCTGCCTTTGTGAGCGAATAGCTTAGAAGGACAATTTTCGCATACGTGACCATAACATTCGCTGTTGATCACAGAAAGAATCGTTCAATAATGGGTGAGGCATCTGAACGCAATTTTGGCCCGGGGGGGTGGAGGGGGAATTTAAACGAGCCAATCTTTGAAAGTAATGCCCGGGGAATTGGCTGCCGGGGGGGGGGGGGATGTTGAAGCTTCGAATTAATCGACGCACCACTTGTTTACTTTTAAGCTGTTTTTCGGCAATGATTGGTCAGTTTCTCAATGATATCAAAGTATTTTTTAATCAAAGAGCAACTTATAGGCATCAATTTCGAGTGACAGAGAGTGAAAAATCTTCATCTCACTGAGATACATGGTGGCAAACAGAACTTTTTAAGGGTTTTTATGAGTAAATCAGTAAACTGGTTCTCATCAAAATCATTATTGTGAGAAACAGGTAGTGAAGATGCCCAGTTCCAGGGCCACACGCGGAGTTCTTTTGGGTACAGTTATTGGCTTGGCATTGGCAGGACTTTTTGTTGTGTGGAGCGACAAATACACTCACATAAAGTATCAGTCAGGACCCTTGGCGAGCTCTGGTATGGAAGATAGAATCACTGTTCCAATGATTATCGCCTGAAATTTTATCTGCCTTCTGTGCTAAAAGTTCTTTAGTTAGCTATTCATTGCATGAAAATCGTCTCTATCATCTAAAACAATAGAGGTATAGCCTGAACAAAAGTTGACTAATTTTGCCAGTCACCTTTAGAATAGCGTACTTTTGTTTGTGGAAAGTTGTTAGTACATCAACTTGACATATTCATTCAAATATCTGTCACATGTCAGAAATGTACCACATTCAGTCATTGTACAGAATGTCTGTCTCAGTCTCTGTACATTGCTCTTGATAAGAAACGCCGTCGTGTTAACTGCAATGCTGTTAATATATTGTCTTGTTAATAGCTAACTTGAGAGCTTACTTTTTCTGTGATAAACACTTACTGTCGCTAAGACTATCGCCATAGTTCACCTTCGATTTTGTTTTCTTTACCCGCTGATCGCCCTGTCATCATATTCATTCAAAGGACAGTTATTATGGTATGGAGATAGTGATATCACGTCACTAAAACCGTCAACGGAAAATGAAAAGGATGAATTCGGAAGGGAGAAATTGGAAACACAGC